ACATTGAGTTAAGTCCTGGTGTGAGTTACTATGCCCTTTAGAGGTAACCAACCGTTCCCGAAGGTGAACATGAAAATGTCTGCGGTGTTTTCTTTTGTTTGTGTTGCTGATTTCCCTGGTTCGTTTTCCCTCTGCAAATATTTTCTTCATCTTTTGGAGAATCTTTCCTGAGAAGGGACAGGGACGATGGGGCGAGGTCGCAGTGGCCAGGAGGATTGGATATAGCGCCTGAATGGGAATCTGGACGCGTCTGTGGCGGAGTGCAAGAATCCGTGATTCATCTACTAGTTTTCCGCATCTCTGGCTATAACCCATCCCCACATTCAGGCACGCTCTCTGTCCCACATCCGCCGGGGTCGCAGTCTACAGTAGCCGCCGAAGCTGGGGTAATGGCCCCTATAAGTCCCGCTTGATTTGCGTGCATGGTCCCTACTGCAGTGAAAGGTTGAATTTCTTTCTTGATTTATGAATGAAATTTGAGTTAAAAAAAAAAAAAAACGAGAAAAAAAAAGGAAGGTTGAATTTTGGGGATGGACGAGGAATTCTCCAAAACGGAATTTAAAGAGGAAAGGTTGAATTTTGGTCAATTAAATAGACGAGAGGAATTTTCCAAAACGATAGAAGGGAAAACTCCCCCGCCGTGACTGCTCCCGGAGCACGGTCCCAGTGGAAAAGAGGATAGAATCAAGCTCGTGAATCTGGATGCGATTTATGAGAGATGCAGAAAAGCAGCAGTTCAATCTCGATTTAATGCACCTCTCCACAAACACGTCCAGATTCCGGCATTCGATCGGATCCTCTTTCCTAGTGAGACCACGCCGCCGTTCATTGACAAGCGCACACATCCCCAGCCGGACGACCAGTCTGAGTCCTCAACAGCATCACCGGACAGAGAACCGAGGGTGTGCAAGCCAGGGGAAATATAATAAATTGTGTTTTCGTAAAAAAARAAAAAAAAGAAATATGATAGTGAGTTGCGGGCGTACTCACGCAAGGGCTACCGGCCGGACCTGGATGTATCTGGCCACAATTATGTCCATATCATGATGTAAGTAAGGGCATACTCACACGGGGACCTACAATCCCAAATTCCCAAAAAAAAGGAGAAAGGGCTTGTCACACGGATCTACCAAATTCGCAAATGTTTTATTCCAGTGCCCATTTGTCAGCGGCCTGGGGGGCAAGGGATTTTGCGGTCACCTCTGGGGCTCTTACCACCCTATGGGGCTCTTACCCTATGGGGCTCTTACCACCCAAGGGGTAGAAGACCTTGCCCTGAACGATGATTGAATTAAAAAAAAAAAAGAAAAAAAAAAGGGCTGTCTGCGTGCGCGCGCGCGCGCAGATCTATGTCGTTTTCAATAAAGAAGGGACCCAGACCAATGGGCTTGGCTCAATCTT